ACTCTAGTAGGATGTGGAATTCGGGAGAGCCTTTCCCTTTCTAATGGCTATTTTACCAAAATCCAGGCTTAAACCCCTGCAGCCACACTTTAAGGACTGAAACAAGGAATGCTGTTAAGAACGAGCAACTAATAAAGACCTTCCTCTGTACATAACAACTACTACTACTATATATTTAATATTGAAGAAGCTTTCAGTAAAGTAATCGCACTCTAGTAGGATGTGGAATTCGGGAGAGCCTTTCACTTTCTAATGGCTATTTTACCAAAAGCCAGGCTTAAACATCTGCAGCCACACTTTAAGGATTGAAACAAATAATGCTGTTAAGAACGAGCAACTAATAAAGACCTTCCTCTGTACATAACAACTACTACTATATATTTAATATTGAATAACCTTTCATTAAAGTAATCGCACTCTAGTAGGATGTGGAATTCGGGAGAGCCTTTCACTTTCTAATGGCTATTTTACCAAAAGCCAGGCTTAAACGTCTGCAGCCACACTTTAAGGATTGAAACAAGGAATGATGTTAAGACAACTACTACTATATATTTAATATTGAATAACCTTTCAGTAAAGTAATCGCACTCTAGTAGGATGTGGAATTCGGGAGAGCCTTTCCCTTTCTAATGGCTATTTTACCAAAAGCCAGGCTTAAACGTCTGCAGCCACACTTTAAGGATTGAAACAAGTAATGCTGTTAAGAACGATCAACTAATAAAAACCTTCCTCTGAACATAACAACTACTACTACAAGTATATATTTAATATTGAATAACCTTTCAGTAAAGTAATCGCACTCTAGTAGGATGTGGAATTCGGGGGAGCCTTTGCTGGCTCACTTTAAGGATTAAAACAATTAATAAGATCGAGCAACAAAAAAATAGCTGTCTCTGTTCATAACAACAACTACTCAGTATTAAATATTGAATTACCATTCAGTAATGTAATCGTATACTTGTACACTGACAAAAAAAATTGATGAAAGATGAATATTTTCATATTACATTTACTGTTCAAATTGTTCATATTCAAATCAAATATAAACAACTTAAATCTAAATAAAAACATATTCAACTACTGATTTAAATATGAATAATATTCAAAACAAAGTGTAAATCTTTGCCATTAAAGAGTGTCATGCTCAATTTAATATTGAACCATATTTAATTTTAATATGCGTCAAAATCAAATAACAAATAGTTAAATTTCCATAGTAAATTTTAATATTTTTCTGAACTTTAATTTTACGTTTTTTGGAGTCCATTTAAATATAATAGAAATATATTAAGCTTTAATTGACTAGAATTCTCAAGTCTAAAAAGTCTATATATACAATATATACAAAGTGTAATCCCTTGGCATACGTTTATGGTCGCTAGGTATGTGTCAAGTAAGTTTATTCAATCAGCTTTTTCTTCACTCTTAATATTAATATTGATCTAAACCAAAAAAAAGGCATAAAAAACGTCAAATATTTAATAATTGCTAAGAATTAATAATCAAATAAATTACTTTTAGCTAAAAATGGTTCTACACAAAATACATATGTGTAGTATATGAAAAATATGCATTATGGAAATGTCGTTATTGGAATGAATTAAAAACGGTAGAGTACAAAAAAAGTAGGAGAAATATTTTATAATTATAAAAATAAACCTCATTTATCATTTAATATCGTCACACTTAGTATTTATTTATTTAATATTTTAATATTCCACTTAAAATTGAACTGTGCACACTTTAAATCTACTAAAACACACGATGGTAAAAATATTTAAATATAAATATATATAAATATATAAATAAATATAATATAAATATTTAAATTTAAGTGTTTTTTTTATCAGTGTAAGATGTGGAATTTAAGAGAGCCTTTGTCACCCCTAAGGAATGCTGTTGCCATCAGATGCCCATGAATGCTGACCAAACAGGAAACGATTTTTTTGGCTCGTAATATATTAATTAAATCTAATATGAAGGCTTGGAAAAAGTTATGCATTTTTATATTTGCAAAACCAAATCGATAACTTGCTGGTCCTGCCTCGCAAAAAATGCACAGCTCTGGGCCTCTATCACGTACTCTTGTTTCGTTCAAAAGCCTTGAAGTCAATAGCCTTTGGTCAGTAGCCTAACTGCACTTTTGTTGTTGTTTTTGTGGGCTCTATTGTTGCTGTTGTTGTTACTGTTGTTGTTATGCTAATTCAAAACTGACAAGACATCTTGATTCAAATGGCCACAATTCCGGTAAAGTAGGATTTGTCGGCGCCGTTGGCATAGCCCGGCAACAAGTCATTATTGTAATTATGTTAATACCCGGCATATGTGTGCGTATCTGTGTGCGTATATGTGTCATCCAAAACTAATGCTGGCTAACAGCGAGACGTCACAGCTGCTGATGTATGTACTCGTATATGTGCCATGCGGCCAACTACTATGGACAGCCACAAAAATACTTACAAGGTTGGATTAATAGGGCGATGTGTGACGAAGAGGCGACCCAACTCTTCTATGCTAACCGAAAACTCGACACAGTTTGTAACAAAACTCAAACAATATCCCCAACAACAGATGAACAAAAACCCAAAAAAGACAATCACAATTTCTTGGCCAAAACAATATTCCATACAATATAGTATTACAAACAGACAGGCCTATAGAGACATTTATAGGTCGGCCCGTCTTCTGCAGAAGGATTTCATAATATCCTATGCCCTTAGTGCGGGATCAGACTATGCAACATACGTTGGAACTAGCTTCCTCATCCACGTATTTCATCGTCAACCCTCGCTTGAAGGTACATACGAGCCTATGTACCAGTATGTGTGTATGTATATATGCATATACAAGTATATGTGCAGGGCTTACTTCAGAACGGAAGTGTGCCAATTTGCGCATAATTTGTTTATGAGTTTTCAGGCAAATGGCCAACGGATGCTCAATTTCTGGCCAGTGTCCTTGTCACAAAGTCACAAATTTCAATTGGCCCCCAACTAAATGCACACTCGTATGCAAATCACCTACCGAGGCAGCACAAAATATTAATTCTCTTTAAAATGATTAACACAGCTTCCTTCGTATCATTTTAAATGCACTGAAGATACAAAAACTTGAACATCATTTGATTTATTAGTAGTAATATTATTACCTTTCTTCACTTTCTATCTTAGATTATTCAATTATTTTGACTAACAAGCAAACAACTCTGAATAAGTTAGGCAGAAAGAATGGAATCTGCACAAAATCTATATATTACAGATTAAGGCAACTATTTAGTAATTACTATTAAAAGTTGAATTTTGTTTCCAAAACATTTCATATAAAGGTAGAGTTGATTGCTTTTTATACCCCATACTCAAAGGGAAAAGGGGTATACTAGTTTAGTGCGTACACACAGAAGAAGGCGGGGTAGACGCCCAAAATTTTTTTCTTTCATGATCCGTACAGCAAGACGAGTCCTTATAGCCATATCCACCTATCCGTCCATCTATCCGCAAGGATCTCCAGATTCTCCAAAATCCAGGATAGAACGATCTTGTGTTTTTTTTCTAGTCCAAAACCCTCTCCCACTCCCACTTTTTAAACATACAAATTTATCTCCTTTAAAAAAAAAATTTAAAAATATTATATATTAGTGCATGTGAGTACAGGGTATATAAGAGTTGCTTAACTCTACGTTTTCATTATTGTTTATTCTATTGCATTCTATTGAAAAATGCTGTAAAGTATTTAAAAAACAAGATAGAACGCTACAGTCGAGCAAGCCGGACAGTAAAATAGCCTGTACTCTCCACAAAAAAGAAAAATTAAAAAAAAGAAATATCAAAAAAAAAAATTAAATTATTAAAAAAAAATAAATTAATTAATTAAATTAATTAGGAAAATTTATTTAATACATACATAGAAGACATGTTTATGTACAGTTTTACATTTACATCACGTGTCTATGTGTATTTATATGCGTGTATGTATGCAGCACAAAGTTGAACCAATGCAGCAACAACAACAACAGATGCGGGCAGCGCTGCAAGCAGAGCATGAGCAGCGATTTTATTTATGGCTATAACTTTCTTCAGAATTGACCTATCCTGGTGAACACATAAGCACTAACACATAAGCACTAAGTGGACGTAACTACTAAAACTGATTTCAAAATTCCAAGAATTACGGAAGTTATAAAAACAAAACATGAATTGCGGGGGAGTGGGGGGGGGGGGGGTGTATCAGAATAAAAAATATACTTGACCTGCCTAGGGCTTAGGGGAACCTGGATACCAAGTTTGGTAATTCTAGCTCTTGTACCTTCTGAGATCCTTGCGCTCATACAGACGGACGGACGGACGGACAGACGGACATGGCTAAATCGACTCGACTTGTCACCCTAATCAAGAATATATACACTTTGTGGGGTCTGCCACGCCTCCTTCTGTGTGTTACATACATTCGCACAAAACTAGTATAGCCTTTCACCCTTTGGGTACAGGCTATAAAAACTCTTGTCAATCTATGACTCCTAAGCACACGTCATGATAATAACAATTAATATGTCAACCATTGCTGAAACATTTTTGAATACTTTAGCTGTGAATTTTGTAGTAGGCATCCCTTTAAAGACTGAAGCTATTGTTAGGACGGAGGAATAGTCGAGGAAGTAGCTGTGATGAAATTCTATAGAAGCGTGCAACTAAAACTGGTTGGACGCCTTCTTTTTGAGCATTTTGCACAGGGAATGTCTGTAGTAGCTAATTAAAACTAAATAAAGCGCCGTTTAGATGTGATACTCTTTAAAATATTTATATTTTTGATGAAGAAGTTTATTTCTTGAAAACAAATACATCATACTTGTATTACCAAAATGTTGTCAATCTGACGACGACTTTCCTATTCGAACACCACATACATACAAACAGTAGAGCACTTCACACGTTCACATTTCCATGATTGTCAAAGAGAACACACACTTTTACTTCCTTACAAATGTAGGTGCTTAACATATTCCGTTTTTGTACCCAACTTAATATCGTTTTAAATAACACGCCCAGATTGCAGTGCGTATCTCTTTCCAAATTCGCCACTAAATTCAAACGGAATCAAACACACAGGAGGAATACTGACGGAACGAATTAAATCGTAAGGATGGCGAAGCATTTTGCACGCATCATCATATATGGGGCTCAATCGGTGGGTCGGGCCTTTGCCAAGGCCATTCGGCAGGAGATCGAAGCATCCCGAGAAGCCGCGCGGCAACGTCAAGCGGTGTGCGGGGGAAGCAGTTCCATTAAAAACGATGTGGCGCACAAAGGTTTGTAATTGGTTTGATTGTTTGATTGGATTTTGTGGATGGGAAATGCATGACTCTGATCCGATCTTTCAGGCATGACATTGTTTGAGGCCCAACAAATACTCAACGTCAAGAATCTGGACGATCGTGAAGAGATACAGTATAATTTTGATCACCTTTTTCGCGTCAATGAGAAATCATCCGGGGGATCATTCTACTTACAGTCGAAAGTTTATCGGGCCAAAGAGCGCATCGATCGGGAACTACAGAAGCTTGCGTCCAATGATGGTCTAACCAGAAGGCAAAAGGCGGAACAGCAGCATCAGCATCAGCAGGAACAGTAGCCAGGCTGGTATAGAAAAAGGACGTGAGTTCTGTGCTTCCTGTTCGTTGTACCGTTGGCCCAGTACTACTAGGGACATAGGTACTACTAGAGACCCACACAAATACTCTGTGTGTTTGTTAAAGCATTTTTGATTAATTTTTGTACATGCATGTTTATTAAACGATTTTAAGCATTTATAGTATGAAGCAATACTTGATGGCATATAATACTTTCTTTTAATTGATCAACATAATATTCTTGTGGTACTAGAAGGTCACGAGTTGCAAAGCATTTCCAGAATTATTTAATATCTTTTCAATATTCATTTAAGACTTGTGCATACTGGCTAGAAATTGTGGTTTCGAATTCTTAAAAACGTTCATTCATGAAAATATGTCATTCCAAATTGATATTTAAAACTCTTAAAAGAATTCATATTAATTCATTTGGAACAAGAATATTTTTTGGCCTTGCTGCAGGAAACGCCGTTATATCTCTATAAAAAGATTGTGGGCTTATTCACTAATGATATTCATAAATATTTTAAAATTTTAATCTAAAAAAATTCAAGGAAAATAATGTATGGTTTTGTTTTTTGTCGTGTAGCGGCATACAGCATTCTGAGAATAAAAAACGAGTTCCAAGTTATTAGAAAAATAAACAAAAGGAAGTTACTCCTCTTGATTCTCGTCCAAAACAGCGTTTGCAGACATGAAAATAGAATATACCTACCCATTTGTTAATTTAAATTGATCAGAATATTTAAGTATGTAAGCCTCGTATATTTATTAAACATTCTTTGCCTCGGATTGCTTTAATTTATTGCGATTTAAACTTGTTGCACACTTAACACGTCCATTCTCCTCTTCTTCTTCCTTCAGTGTGTCCCTACACCCACGCCATATCAATATATACTCTTATTCAAATACTACTACTATAATATTATCGATACATATCGATGTACATTAGACCTTTACAAGTATAAAACAATGAATTTAAAACACGATAATACTATTTATTTTGTTTCACACTCTAAACTAATGATATTCAAAAATATTGTAAAATGTTGTCCATTGTTTTCTGAGATATGAACCCCCGCTGCTTAGTTCTTTGCATTGACAGAGAGAGTGCTCTTCGCTATCTTCTCTCTCTCTCTCTCTCTATCTCTATCTCTCTATCTCTATCTCTCATTTCTACGGCCTCCCCAGAAATCACTGAATGCCAACTCTGGCTATAGGAGATGGCCTCTTTTTGTTTCAGAGGCTTGAATGTTCTTTTGAGATCACAAATTGATGAAATATTTCTTAAATAGTTAAATGAAGTAGAGTTTGAATATGAAATGTTTATTAAATTCTGCATGCAGAAATTCTAAATGGATAACGTTGGCTTTAAATGGTTTTCTCGCACTGCCGCAATATAAAATAATTATGAATATTTTCATTGCTTTGCATACATACATACATATACTATACTCGTGCTCATAGCATATGCATACATACATACATATGTATGTGCTAGATGCGAGTATACACATATGTGTGTGTGTGTGAATACATACATGCGCCACAGACACAATGATATAAACAACAACAATAGCAACAGCGACAGAGGCAGCGGCAGCAATAGCAACAATAACAAAAGTAGCTATAAATGTGCCACACAATATATTTAAAATGGCTTAATTTTTAAATATCTTTGTGTTGTTGTAGTCGTATTGTGCATTATTATGAAAAGCGCAACAATTTACATTCAAATTACGTTTGCTGATTATTTTTGCCATTGCCGAAACATTTACCTACACATGCTCACACACACAAAGGCAGATGCTTATGCCTATGTGTCTGTGTGTGGGTGTCGGTGTGGGTGTGTGTGTGTGTCGCATCGCATTATGGTCATTTTCAATTTGTTCGCATTTAAAATGCAATTTGCCGTTTGTGCATGGCGGCGACGCCGCTCTATGAAATTTAAGTGATTTATTTATGCATATTGTCGGAGCTCGCCACAATAAAAACAATTAAATAAAATTGCCACAACTTTTGCCATTATACGAGTACGCCATAATTATAGGCCAAATTCTGACCCTAGCTGTGTACTTTACTTGGCTTTGAAGATTATGAGTCATGAATATAGTAAAACCCGATTGTCGCCGCCCATGCCCTGCTCGATGATCAAGAAAATGGAATGCTGCGGCAGAGAGGGGAGGGGAACGGGGAGGGGAGAGGCGCAAGGAAACTGAACACTTAAGTGGAAATGTAGTTAAGTGTAGCTGACGTCGTCAGCGACTTGGGCAAAAAGGAAAACGCAATGCAACTACCACACTCACACCCACACCCACACTCATACTTATACGCATATCTCTTTTTGGCCATGGCTGACGACGCAACAAATGATAAGCAGTGACGATGGCGACGAGGCATCGTCGCTGCATTGCGATTTGCGTTGTCGCTTTTCCTTGTGCGCTTTCCATTTCATTTTTTTTTTTTTTTTTTTTTTTTTTTTTTTTGATTTTGTGCAACTTTTTTTTCGGTATGGAAAAACTATTCAAGTCTAATGGCACGAAAGAGAATAATGACGCACAATACACTTCGACGGTTTAAACGGATTCACATGATTACCACTGGCTGCCTTATTCTAGAATGTAGACCGTGGATTGGGAAGCAGTCGGCAACGCCCCTCGTGAAGAGCAACAGCAGCAGTGGCAGTGGCAGTAGCAGTAGCAGAAGCAGAAGCAGAAGCAGTAAGTAATGATGCCTGTCGATGCTTGCAGAAACTTGTTAACCATTTGAAGGCGACAAATGTCGTGAGCATTAGACCAAGTTATAAGGACATGCTGCACTTTGCCGCCACTCGAACCATTTCAAGTTTCCATGTAAATTGCAAGCCAAATGGATGTTGATAAGAAAAAGCTCAAGAAGTAGTCGACGACCCCCTCATACGTATCATTCAGATGTCCCTGTATCTGCGCGAGTATGTGTGTGCGTGTGTGTGTGTGTGTTTAAGTGAATTGTGCGCACAAATCTAACAAATTAAGATTGGCGGACACCCCCGATGTCATATTGCACTTATCACAAAATGTAATGCATTCAAACGCATTCCATTTACTTGTTTAATATAGTTTAAAGCGATTTTTGGCCAAGTCCTATGAATTGGCAAATACAATGCAGTTGTAGTTTTTGATAAACCGGCACGTTTGAAGGTTTAGTGTCTAGGAAAATATTACTTTCTCATGTTCATCTCAATAAGCTAGTTTGTAAATATATTTATTTCCTGTACCCTAGCGCAAAAAAAAATGCATTGCAGACCCCCATGTTAAAGCTACCCCTCTAAATGAATTATATGCGCAAAAACTGTTTTCTCTGTTTCGCATTGTACTTGTAAAATAAATATTTTGTTTTTTGGTATGCAGTTTTTTTCTTTTAAGTATTTTGTGCATATTTTAAGTGAAATATTCCTCCATCCACCTCATTTGTGGATCCGGTGGATCCGATGATAAACAATAGAAGTCGAGAATTTCATAGAAAATAATTATATGTGCAAAACGACTTATTTGCCTTCTGTCTGCATTAAAATAAACAAATAACTTTAATTTCCTTATGCAAGTGCAACTAGTATAGTAAAAAAGTGAGTGGAAATCGAGAGATTATTAATATTAGTTAATTTAATAGTAAGAAATGCCACGTGGAACGGAATTGTCGGGTGAAGAGCGCGGTAGCATACGGGCAATGTGCGATGCTGGTATAAAAATTGCAAATAGCTTCTGCCATAAAACGGTATCGCAATACAGTAGCAAACTTTTAAAAAGATTCAGATAATTAAGGCGTTGCCAAGCGGAGCGGTCGAATTGCGGCCATAGATGAGGACATATCCGAAAGTATATGTATAATAATAGCATGAGCTGTAGGCAAATACTTGTAAAGGCGGAATTAGAGCTGACTATCACTAGAAAAGGTGTGCAAAAAATAATGAAGCACCATTCCAAGCATACATTGGCTTTGATTATGAGGCAAAGCTCGACAAACCTCGACTATATGAACGGGACAAAGACGCACGTATGGCTTCTTCAATAAGTACCGATTTTAGAAGAAAGAATTTGAGGATGTCATTTTTAGCGATGGAAAAAAGTTAAACTTGGACGGTCCTGACGGTAACCACAAATATTGAAGGGATATTCGAAACCCAGGCAGATCTGCTACAAGCGCAACCATGGGGAAGGATCGAAAATTGTATGGGCTGCCTGTAGCTCAAAAGGCAAGTCCCAAATACGCTATGTCCCGAGTAAAATGAAAGTCGAAAAGTATATAGAACTGTTGGACAGGGAGCTCATATCATTTGAGAGCAATGCCATGGCGATCGGTGGACATTCTAGCAAGACAACGCTCCTATTCATGTTGCAAGCGACACAAAGGAGATTTTCCGAACCAGCAACATACCGTTGATACCAGTGGCCAGCGTTGAGTCCAGCCCTTAATCTATAGAGAATATGTAGGGCATACTTTCTGCTGAAATATTTACATATTCCAAGCAGTATGACACTCAAAAGCAGCTTAAAAATTCAATTATAGAGGAGTGGGCACAAATTGAATCGGGCACATTAAGAAATTGGTAAATTCTATGTATGAATTCAATGGAAACAGTATACCATACTAAAAATGTATATAATATTTAAGTTTTAAGTCGATTTTTCCAATAACATACTATTTTAGTACATATTTGTAGGTATTTTGCTATTTTGCACATATAATTACTTTCTATGGGGTTTCGAAAAACAATTGGTTTTTTAATATAAGAAAAATTATATGAAACTTGAAACGTAGCACATCTTGTGAATACCATATCAAAATAAAAAAGATACAAGTCTAACAATGTTTGGTTTAAACGTCATTTTATACATTGCACATATAAATATTTAACAGTTTATTTTATAGTTGATAATCTTAGCAATAACTGTTGAGAGACCAGCAATAATACTTCTGCATTATTTTTTAGAAACAAAACAAAAACTCTTCGAGATAAATGACATGTGACTTATGAAGTCATCTAAGTAGAACATAATACTTTGTTAAATGCCTAACTTTAAGGTGTTGTCAACTGATTTCACCGTCGTAGTGCTCCCCTCTCCGGTGCACAAAACTATGCTGCAGTTCAGATAATTGCACACCATTAAATAGAGAAATCTAGAGAAAATTTACTCAAATTCGATATCAAAATGCAGGACATGTCTG